AGAGAAAAGAATTGCCACTGCTTAGGCAAAGGTCATGAAGAAAGCATTAAGGGATTCTCATGAGAGTGGTCATTCCGAGATGGGGCTCTGACCTCCATGGTTAGGGGAACCCAGGGAAGAGGCTGGGGATACTGAAATTGAGACATCTGAAGAAGGCACTCCATAGAGCAAAACTAATTCCTCTTTTAAAGGTGATTATCTCGTGCATTTTGGCTTAATGACAGAAAGCTGATTAACACACCCCTCCCCCAAAATAGCAGACCATGGACCAGTGTTGGTATAGCTAAACAAGAGAACAGCCACGGTCTGGGGATGAACAGTGTGTTCAAGGCCAGCCTGAGCAACGTAGTGATACAAGTCCCAAAGGAAAGGTCGGAAAGAGGGCTGGGGATAGAACTCAGTGGTAAGGCACTTGCCTACCCAGCATGGGTGAGGCCCAGGTTCAATTCCTAGTGCTGCCAAAGAATGAGGGGTGGAGGAAGGTCAGTTGGAGTTGGTTTTTTTTTCTGCCTAACTAAATAATTGTATCATTGTCAAGGTCCAACCAAAAAACAAGCAGTGTTTTCAAAAGAAACCAAAAAACAGCAAAACCAGAAACAGGAACCTACACTATGTGTGGCAAAAAGCCTTTGAAAGCAACTTGAACCAAATTCATTCACAAAGCCCACTGGAGATAACCTAGGGGAGGAGAATGTTTACGAACATCCAGGACAATCATTTTGTTGTTGTTGTTGCTGTTGTCGTTTTGTTTTGTTTTTCGAGACAGGATTTCTCTGGCTGTCCTGGAACTCTCTTTATAGACCAGGCTGGCTTCAACTGATAGAGATCCACCTGCCTCTGCATCTCAAGTGCTGGGATCAAAGGTGTGCGCCACTGCCCTGCTACAATCCTTTATATTTGTTGGGTAAAAAGTTCCTGAGGTCAAAACCAGATAGAACAAGCCAAAGAGAAATCATCTGATGGTTTAGGAATAATCTGTGACATACAGAACTTATTAAAATCAGTCATCACAATCAGAAAAGTGCTATGTACAGCATTTTCCAGGAAGAGAAGGTCTGCCCTGCAATCCAGGCTTACAAACATGCCACAAGGCAAACATTAAACCTGAATAAGAAGGGAGAACCAGTGCCTAAAAAGCACATGTATGCAACGCTGCTGTTGGCTGCTATTAGTTATGGAGAAATTTTATCTTCATTAGAGCAGGCCCAATGGGGTCTCCACTTACCATCATTATTTATTGAATGCAATCATATTTTTCTTAAAAAACAAACCTCAGCAATTTAGTGTTGCCATTAATTTAAATGAATGAGTTTACTACCCTGAGCAGTCATTCCCAAAGTGTGTTTCCCATCAAGGAAACTGATATGTATCTCTCCCTACAGCCCATGCAAAGGCTTAGTCCTCAATTCACAGAACTGCTGGGAAGTGACCTTTAAGATCGGGAGGCAGAGGCAGGCAGATCTCTGTGAGTTCGAGGCCAGCCTGGTCTACAGATCGAGTTCCAGGACAACCTTCAAAGTAATACAGAGAAACTCTGTCTCAAAAAACCAAAAAAACAAACCAAAAAAGATGTAAGGCCTAGATGATAGTGATCTGGTCATGTAAGAACATGACCCTGATGGCGACACTGGGGCCCTGGGCTCATTTCTTTCTCCCATTGGTTTCTCAGCAATGATGAGGGAAGTAGCTCCCTCAAGATTTACAGCCACCTTGCCAGTCCTAAAAGCAAGGATGCTAACTGATCAAGGACCACAATATCCTTTTCCTATTAAAAAAAAAAAAAAAAGAAAAAGATTACCTGAGACATTTTCTCACAGCTACATAGAACTGACTAGTATTCCAGTGTAGAGGACAGTACAAAGCCACAGAGTGTGAAAAGGAACTGTCACTTTGTTTAACAGTTTCCCAGATGACTCCAGACCAGTGGTTTTCAATTTTCTTAATGCCTTGACACTTTTGAAGGGATTCTAGCCAGCTCGAGCATGGCCAACATGGCTCTGGCAGGCCTGGACCTTCTCCCTGATTCCCACCTCCCAGATCTCCTCTTCATCCAAGGTAAAACCACTACCAGAGGGGTTTCAAGGAAACTGAGTCCCTCAAAGGCCTTAAGAAAATGTTAAACCCAAAACACTTTCAGAAACTCTGCAATTATACAGCTCAGTGGGGTGCAATGCGCTATTGGGGAAGGTTTTGCCATTTCAGTCTGGCACACATACTTTTCTTACTCATTTTAACCACATCAAGAAACCCCCCAAGAGAGGCCGTTTTCTCAGCAAGGCAAGCTACAAAGGGGAATGCGAAATGGCCTTGTTTTCTCCGGCAAAATGAAACACTATTATGTTTTATTCATGCAAAGTGAAAACCCTTTTCCTTTGCAGGGTTACAAATTGAATTTGCTTTTGTAAATTGCTGTTAAGGAAGAGAGAGAATCCACCCACCCACACACCTACATAGAATACAAAGGCTCCTTCCAGGGCATGAAAGCACAGGGGACCAATGGGAATAAACAGAACCTTTAAGTGGCAAACTTGCGTCTTTACTTACTGAGCAAAAAAAAAAAAAAAAAAAAAAAAAAAGCAAGAAGGCCTAGCTGATAGTGATCTGGTCATGTAAGAACATGACCCTGATGGCGACACTGATGGCTCAAAGACACCCTGCTCACTCCCACTAACCATGGAGACTTGCTGAGGTCCTGACTGCCTAGGGGGTTGGCACTGACTTAACACCATGTACCTTGGGTAGTGCTCTTTGGTGGGGTTCTTCCTGTTCTGCAGGTAAACTGAACTCATCAGGATTTGCAAGAGTTTCCTATTGCCTATCTCCAGTGATCAACCATCTTTGAAGCTACCAGAAATCTGACCCCTCCCCCGTGCAGTGGCTTGAAAAGGAAGTCATGTAATTAGCTGCATCTGTTAAGTACATGTTGCTTAAAAAAAAAAAAAATCAAGAGTAAACATTCATTAACCACTTGCATGTTTTCATCATCATGCCAATTATTATATAGACAGTCACTGGAGCACACACATGTGCTGTTGTCCCTGGCAGTTATCTTCATTTTTCAGATGAGAGAAAATGAGGTGCAGAGAGTTTGAGCAATTTTGCCATCTAGAATCCAAATCACGTTTCTCTTATAAACATGTAGCTATTGGCTTTATTTTAAAGGAATAGTGTAGACCGAAAACTTGCATGAGTAAAATCTAACCTAAAACATAGGTAGCAGGTTTGAGGATGTGCCTCAGTGGCGGAGTGCTTGCTTAGCATACTTGGGGCCTTCAGTCAAGTGCAAACAAAACCAAAACAAATAACAGACCTGAATCCACATTTCTAGTTGTGGGAATATATAATGGTCTCCACTTTGACTCCTGCTGTACAGATAGACATGGGGGACAGAAATCGGGAAAGTAAGAGCCCTCTACAGAGGCTACATGTTTTCAGAGATGGGTAATGGCCTCAGAGTTTCTCTGACAGTAATTCACTGAAGTGAAGACAAGCACTTCAGCACTCCAAATGAATGACAGGCTATATGAACCATCTACTTGCTCACCCCAAAGCACCTGTCACAGCTCTTAGGGCTCCTCGCTCTAGTATTGATAGCTCAGAGATGTGCTATGCTCCCAGGAAGGTTTAACCCAATCAGCAATTAGAGAATTCTTTCTGAAATCTGGTTCCAGCATAAATGCTTGTTGTTTGACTGTCAAATATTTAGTCATAAGCCTTCATTTCTGGTTTAGGATGCAGAACTGGTCAAAGATGACTAAACACACTGGTGCTTCACACACAGGATGGCTGTATAAGACAAGGAAGGCCTTCCCCTTATAAAGGACTGCATGACCCAATTTCAAACACACACACAAAAACAAGCCAGAATGTTCAGAAAAACCATCCCTTTGACACCCGTGATTTTTATCTACTTTTGTAACATTTTTGCCCATTTTCAACATGATACTTTAAATGTCCAACAGTTTGACCCAAGATGCTAGAAGATGCCCCTACACCTTGGGACTTGCCAAAACAATGATTATAACTTAAGCATTAACTGAATGTACTTCTGTCCAACTATTCTGCAGTGGGGTTCAAGTACAATATTAGTGGTAACAACTGCTAAAGTTATTAGCTATGATAAGGGCTTGAAAATCAGAACATCAGTTTCCTGTCATCTTGGGGAACAGAAGATTCACAGTATTTGTGGTAACTCATTTTCAGTCGAACACCATAAAAACACATGCGGAAGGCAACTGTTTAACTCAACCAACATTTCAACTTAAACATTACTAGTAGCGTGGATCCGAGGCATTCAGGATGCAACCAATGACATTGATTAGAAAAGGAATGTGGAGAAGACAGAAATAATGCAGGGCACTATTGTCTGATGCATAGGGGCACTTGGTAAAATGAGGGAGGAGATGTGTGAATGCAAGCCCCTCAAGCCACAGAAGTGGCCAGGCCCTTCCCCCAAGGACTTCTAACTTCCAGGTTCCACCCACATAATACTCCAGCTGCCCTACCTGCTGGACCCAGCCCCATCCTACAGAGAAAAAGCCCAATCTATCCACAGGAAATTGCACCAGTCTCCACCCTGGAAAGCTGCACCCTGAAAAGTTCCACCCTCCTCCCAAGATGCTCTATATAAGCCCTGTATCCAGTTCAGTTTGCTGCTGTTTCTCATCCAAGCAGAGGCAGCCACCCTCCTGGGTTTTTTTCTCTCCCAATAAATCTCCTGTTGGGAGGTTTGTTGCGCGGTATGACTTCACGGTATTCCTTGGCTCCCAGCTGCCAAGATACCTTTCCACTGGAGCTGTAATGCTTGCAATGTTGACCCAAAGGCATGCATGAGTCAGAGCTGACTAACTTTGAGGGACAGAAGCCAGGGAGGGAAATCCTGGATATCTTGGGAGGCGGGAGAGCAGAGCAAAGACTTACTCTGGTCTATTACCTCTCTCATCAGTTTCTGTTAGGATACATATTGAAGGAGGATAGGCTGCACCAGCCCAGGCACTCACCGGCCATTGTCTCGGCCCACACCCCACACTCGGATGCTCACGATGGGCTGGGAGTGTAGCACGGAGCGGTCCATGGGGTCCACCAGGCTGAGCATGTCATTTTCCAAAATCAGATACATGTCTTTGCCCTGGGAGTTAACAAGAAAATACGGAGACCTTACATCTGATGTGTGCAGGCCTGCTTTCTAACCAGCTCTTATCTTTAACTATTTATACTTCTGGATCTAGACAAATTCCTAACAGGAAGGCCGCAGAGAATCTTCTTTTATGAACTGCACACCCCCTCCAGCCTTCAATGGCTCCCTCTCACCATTCTTCATGCCAAGGACACTCTTCTTCCTTGACCTACAGCCACGTCCATCTCCTCCACTTTCCCCATCCTATGTCCACAGGATGTGGCTGGCAAAGGATGATCATCACTTCCCTGTGCTTGTTAATTGAATGTCAAATATTACACTGAATAGTTGGGGTGCACTGAACTCTCAGCTGCCCTGTGAGAGCTTGGCTGTGGACACCGCCAAGGCTGAGCCCTAAGTACCTGCCCAAGATCTGGTGCAGAGCCGATAATGGACATTGCCATCATACTGAGAGGGAGACCTCTGGCTTTTCAACTCTTGAGCTGTAGTTTGGATTTGTAGTGTTCGTTCATGTCCTCTCTCCCTATACAGGTCGGCTCTTTAAGGGCAGGAATGCTAGCTTATGTAACTTTCTTCTTCCCTCATAGAATCCTCACGCACATTCTCAAGGAATGATTAGCCATCTGCTATACAGCTGAAAGATGGTCTCTCAAGAAGGCGACTCAGATGCAGGCATGAAACCAGGGAAGCCTGCGTGAGCTGAACCACCAGGCCTCTTATTGGGGCTCCAATCCCAAAGGGATGGATCAGTGGCTCTTGGTACAGTTTTTGAGAATGATGTCAAAGGTTGTTAGAATGATTGAGCTGTGATGCTTGGGGTGGCAGGGGCAGGTAGACAGTGCCTCTGCCAGACAGTGATTAAGAGTGGCCAGTGGCTGCAGCTGATTTTCAGAGTGATTGAGAGCTTTCCCTCAAGAGCAGACAAACCATTTGCAGATGACACATCACAAACACAAATGTAACTTGCACAGACTCGTGTGGCCAAAGCCTTCCCACAGCCTGGACGAGGGATTGCCTGCTGCCTCAAAGCTATGGCATCTGCAGATGTCTGCTGTTCATGTTAGTGTAAATCACAGCAAATTTTCTTAAGGATGGGGAAGCTAATACTTTGACTGGAGGAAAACAAAACCCATTAAATTTCAAATTCAGGGATGTGTTGTGAGATCACACTTCATTGTCAGAGTCAGTCCTTGGTGACTGGATGTGACACAGCAAAGCGAGAAGTCTCAACAGGGGTTTTCTTGCAAGGGAGAAAACTCTTCCTCCCCCTCCTCCATGCGAGTTTGGTTAACAATGGAGTCCAGCCCCATAGCAAGGCTCCCCCTTGGGACAGACTCTACCATGGGGAGCTTTGGGGACCTGCTTCTCATCATGCTGCACTGCTGGGAGAAACCAACAGTGGCATTGCCAACGGTCCAGCTTGAAAGCAAAATCTCCAACCCATGTTCTGCTGGTGGGACACAGGCAAGCACGGTCTAGGATGTTCCTAATGTGTTCTGCATGTCATAGAGCATGAATACGACTTCCCCTGTTTGATGTAATCTTAATGCAAATCTGGGAGCATTTTCAATTCAGATACTATCTTTTACCTTTTTGGTTGCCAGCCTAGCCTTTAACCGCTGAGCCATCATCTCTCCAGCCCTCAGACATTATCTCAACTAATAGTTCAAAGTAGACTCGCTTTATTAAAAGTGAGACAAAATTCTACAGCTCATGTGCAATGATTGTCAGGTTATAGATGAAGAAGTGTGCAAAGGGCAATTATTCACCTCATAGAGCAGGACATCAGTATTCATGAGTGCAGGTGTGAGAATCACATGCCACCCTGAGAGTCATGGGCTGTTCCCCAGAAAACTGTTAATAGATGACATTCCATTGCACACATGAACATAGGATGGCTTCTGAGCTCTGAACATTTACTGATGGACCTCTGAGGATCTGAGGGTTAGGGAACTCTTTTAGCCCTGAGAAATGATCTCTCCTGGGGGCACGGTCCTGAGTGGCTTGTGGTGGGGCTAACCATAACTACTCTGGTACATCAAACTGACAGTATTTGTCCTAACACTTGGAGCCCCCTCACTACAAGGTCTCCCAGAGCCCCAAGCTCAACAAAGCACGGCAGAATACACAAAAGTAGCTACTAACTGTTTCCAGGGTGACTTACCTCTCCCCAAATGCCAACTGTGTCTCGGATGTCATTTTTGCAGTAGGAAAGTTGCCGGATGCAGTTGTTGACCGCAACACTGCTCTTCCCGGGGGCAAGATCCTCCTCTGCCATCTCTACCCAGCCCAGAGAACGCACAGCAAAACACTGGAAGACAAAGTCAGACAACACGAAGTGACTTGTCGGTTGTGGTCATCGGCATCATGTTACTTGTAATGACTAGGGTCTGCTCAGTGTGCCTTTATTTGCCTCACTGTGGCTAATCATCCAATTCAGTTAGCAAATCCTCTGCTGTTGGAGGACAAAATTGCAGCGATGATTTGTATTTTGAAAAGCATAGGGACAACCTTCTTTGTTGTTGTGCGAGAGTGTTGTGCTCCTGGATACTTTTTCCTTAGAAGGAAGAGCACCAGGAGCATAATTACAGAGCTAACTAATGGCACAAAGGCTTCTAAGTTCCCATCACCTGTGAGAAAACAGATTTTTTTTTTTTAATGGTAAGAAATGTAACCCCACGAGACCTGGTATTATTAGGTACCTAGACAAAGAAAATAGAAGAGAGTGAACTATACGCAGTAGATGGCCAACAGAAAATGAACTCAATAGTATTTTTGGGAAATTTTCTTTTTTTTTTTGTTCCCCCTCTCATAATGTTTTGTCTGGACAGTTTTTCCCCATACAGATATTTTACTTACACATGGTTTTTGTTTTTTTTGTGTCTTTATGGGATTTCTGCTTGTGTTGAGTGTGTGTCTGTGTCTATATGTGTTTATGCTTTTTCTTTAGCTTTTTTTTTTTTTTTTTTGGTATTTTCGAGACAGGGTTTCTCTGTTTGGCTTTGGAGCCTATCCTGGCCCTCGCACTGGAGACCAGGTTGGCCTCCAACTCGCAGAGATCCACCTGCCTCTGCCTCTCGAGTGCTGGGATTAAAGGCGTGCACCACCAACGCCCGGCAGCTCTTTTTGTCTTTGTTTTTTAAGATTTTATTATGTATACAGTGTACTGCCTGCATGTCCACCTGCAGGCCAAAAGAGGGCACCAGATCTCATTGCAGATGGCTGTGAGCCACCTCGTGGTTGCTGGGAGTGCTCTTAACCAACGAGTTATCTCTCCAGTCCTCTTTGGCTCTTTTTAAAATTTTATGTTTATTTGTTCTATTAGGTTTGTTTGTTTTTATTTTATCCTATCTATGTATTATTATTATTATTATTATTATTATTATCATTTTTAAAAGATGTCTGCTTGTTTTCTAATGAGTGAGAGCAAGAAAGGGTAGGGATTTGGATGGGTGAAGGAGATATGGGAAGATCTCTAGGAGGGGAAACCATAATCAGAATGTTGTATATATATATAAAAAATTCTCATATATATAAACTTACATAAGCCAAAACAACAAAAACAAAATAGGAATTATGTGCTTATTTTAACATGTTAATACTCCCAAGACACGAAACACAGCAAGCCGCATGGGCAATACTCTTGATCAGGAGCTGCTGTCCCCAGAGGATCTGAAGTTTCTCTCACCCCTCCCTGCATCCCAAGGTCCCCTTGAAGCTGTGCACCAGGGCCAGGTGGGGGCAGAGAAGCAGCCACTTTCTTCCATGAAAAGCAAAGAGATTGGCTCTTAGAGAAGCTGCCAACTTTATATAAATGTAAACTTCAAAATGAAATGAAGAAATGTGACAATTTATCCCAATGTGACGATCATCAAGACTGGCCTAACCTTCTCTACCCCAACACCATGACTAGAGTGGACGTCACCTAGCTGCTAGTCACACTTCCTTAAGGGGGAGAGCTCAACGAAATGCTAAACACAGAAGTTAACACAGTGTGCATACCACTCACAGATGTTCTCAGCCTAGAGGGGAAGGCTGTGTAATGCCTGACAACTGCTGTGCAGTCAGCGTATGCATGATTGAGTCTACTACAAATAAATCCCAAAGAGAAGGCAGGCCTAGAGACTGTAAAAGCTACTCAGCTGCCTGTCTACTGGGAAACAGCTGTGGCAGAGCCCCTCACAGTTGTTCTATGAGTGTGTGTGTGTGTGTGTGTGTGTGTGTGTGAGAGAGAGAGAGAGAGAGAGAGAGAGAGAGAGAGAGCGAGAGAGAGAGAGAGAGAGAGAGAGAGAGCGAGAGAGAGAGAGAGAGAGAGAGAGAGAGACAGAGAGAC